GGGATCATGACCTGAGCCAAAAGCAGAGGCTTTAACCCACTGAGCCACCCAAGCACCCCTCCCCTGCTCTTCCTCAAGAGCATATCCCATCTATCCACTTCGATCTCCACTGTCCCCACCACTTCTTGCCTGGACGAGGGCAGCAGGCTTCCACTCTGGACTCCTTCTACCCAGGCTCCATTTCGCAGCCAGAGAGGCTCTTAGTCTCTCTTTTTATTTTATTTTTTAGAGAGGTTTTTATAGATGTCAGTTTTAACAGTGAAATCCTCTGCTTAAAACCTTTGCCCATAGTGCTTACGAAGTCCAGCATGGCCTGGCCCTCGGCCACGTCTCATGGCACTCCGGTTCTCAAATGTGCCGAGCAGCAACCATGTCCAGGACTCCATGTGAGCACCTCTCTCTTCTCTGTGCCACTAGTTCTTAGCCCTTTAGGACTCTGGCTCCTTGTCCCTAACCCAGTGAAGTCTTCCCTGCCCCACGCTGTGGTCCATGAGCCCAGCAGGGCAGTGAGAGAGTCCCCCTACTCATCCTATCCCCCTGGCGCCCATCCTGAGGCTGAACCCAGGTAGATGATCACAACAAGGGTGCACAGTGCCTCCCTGTTGGGGGGGTGGGGTGGGGGAGAAGCTCAGAAGCTGTGTTGTCCGGGCATGCCTGGGAATGGGTCCATCAAACACGGAATTGCCCTTCTGTAGGCTGGGCTAAACTTTCAGAAGTCTCTGTGTACTCCCAAAGTTGAGTGCCTTAGGAAAACATGTCCCAAGGGCACGACATCCCCCGCTAAAGTCACCTCAGCCCCTCTCCCCAAACCCCCTCCCTCTGGGGCTCACTCATTCAGGGCTTCCAAGGGTCAATTCGGTCTGGATGCATCCATTTCCTCCAAGGCAAAATGTATCCATGCCTTTTTTGTGCTTTGGAGGCTGCTGGGAATAAGCAGGAGGTGTGAGGTTTTATTACCCCCTGGGAACTATTTACACGGGGCGTGCTGCTTGGGTCAGGGCTGTGGGAGAAGTGGGCGGGCTCCCTGAAGGCGACAAGTGGGTGGGCCCGGCTCCCAGGGGAAGGGACGCAGCTGTGTAGCGCTATTGTTCTGGCATCAAATCCTTCTAAGGCTCCAACTGGATTGCTTGGTGGCAGCTTAATTAAGGCTGCTGTTTTCTTCTTTCTTCTAAGTTTGTTTACTTTATGCACTTTCCAGAGGAGTACGTGTAAGTTAGAACTTGCTTCTCTGGCCACTTGAAGATGTGGGTCAGAGCTCTCTCTCTCTCACACACACATACACACAAATAAGTAAGACCATACAGGATTTGATTAATACAGTCTGCAAACTCAGACTTCTATCTGTGTAAGTGTGGATGCTTGTAGGCACACACCTATATTCACATGCCTCAAAGAGCACACACTTTTGTTGCCTATGTTCATGGAACATTTCCAAGAATCGATCAAGTACTTGGATAAAAAGAACTACAGCGCATTTTTTTAAAATGTTACTTTTACTGATTATAATGCAGTAATGCTTGAAATAACTAATTTAGCAAGGATAAATTATTTTTAATGTTTAGAAATGACATATTCCTAGGTAGCTCTTAGGTCAAAGAAGAAGTCTAAAGGGCAAGTAAAAACTATACAGAAAATACTTCATACCTAAACCCGAGTTAAACGAGCTGTACTCAGAAGAAAATTTATAATCTAAAAATGCCATTGTTGTTTAAGGAGAAAGGGTGGCACGGAGCAAAACAAAACAAAATTGAGTACTCGTCTTGGAAAGCAAGAAAACAAGTAGAAGAAATCAAAACACAAGCCAGGTAGGGGAAATAAAAGATTAGAGGTGTCATGAACAAAATAATAAAAACAAAACAACAAAGAGAAACAAATCCCAAACTGGTTCTTCGAAAAGAACAATAAATCACAAATAGGCGAGACTAGGAAGAAGAAAGAGAAATGACCCGACTCAGGAGGTATCATGTGAAGGAGAACACGAGCAACTATCTAGCCACACAGGAAAAACCGATCAGAATTGGAGGATCTAAAAACAAAACAAAAAAAAAAAAAAAAAGAAGAAGAAAGAAAGAAAAAGACCCCAAACAAAACCAAAACCGCAAAACTCCTGCCAAAATGGACATAAGAGATGGAAATTGGACGTTCCAATGAGCAGAAGGCACGGGGGATGATAAAGGGGAGCCACTGAGGAAGAGTCTAGAACCTTCCATCTCTCTTTAAAAAACAAGAGCGGGAAATTCTCAGGTAATTCGAGTATCCCGAGCCAGAGAAAACTGTTGGTGTCTCCCTGGCCCATTTTATGAAGCCGGCATAATTTTAGTTCTACCCTCGGACGCAGATATAGAGAGAAAACGACGGAGGCCTCTCACTTGAAAGACACAAACACTCAACGTATTAGGCAACCGAGCCAGGAAACGTATCAAAAGAATAACACATTAGCACATTCTGACCAAACGGGGCTTATTCCAGGGGGATAAGGTGGCGCCCCATCAGGAAATCTGTCCACATCATGTAGGACATTAAAAAAAGGCGGGGGGGGGGCGGGGTTTAAACTGGAAAAACAGTTTAAGAGCTGGTCCTAAGAGAGGGTGCTGAGAGGCTGGCGGTTTGTCATTCAGCGGCCACTGCTGACAAGTCCCTGTGAATGAGAGGAAAGACGGGACACCACTCTGTGCCCATCAGACGGGTTCATGCCGTGGATGCCCGGCCCCCTGACCCCAGCAGCAGGTCCGGGAAGGGACCTGGTGTGTACCCCCCGCTGCATCAGCTCCCGGGGGCCTACCGCATGGACATGAAGGGAGGGCCCGTGCCCAGAAACAGGAGGATGCTTGTTTATGGCTGCCCTGTTCTGGGCTTGTGGGGGCGGTGGCCCCAAGGTCAAGCCAGAGCCCATCCACATGGAAGCAGTTGAATCTGATACAGAAATGCTGATACGCAGTGTTTAAGGGAAGAGTTCACACCCCTTGTTGGCGACATGGAGAGGCTGCAGGAGAGTGTCCGGGATTCCGATGTTCATGGAAAGAAACGCTGGGAAAGCACGTGTCAGCGGACATGCGTGCCGGGAGGAGGCGGGCGCTGCCAGAGGTTATCAGAGTGGGAGATGCGGGGGCAGAAAGGGGCAAATACTGTGTTACCTGCTTTCATAAGGTAACGGGAATGTGACATCATCTTTTTGATTTGCCTTTCTATGAAAAAGATCGAAGCTAATTTTAAAAGTTTCAGGTTTCTCCAAAAGCATATTCTCCCTCTGATGTTTATGGATTCTCGAATCATCTCCTGGCCCGAGAAAGGAAGCTTGGACCAGCAGCGACTGGGCAGGACCTGGTCTTCCCTGTGGACAGTGGTGAGCAGGGCTGGGAGGGAGGCAGAGGTCACAGACACACCCTTTCGGTGCTGGGTTTCTCCAAGGCCCGGAGGGCTCGGACAGCTGGTCCTCCAACACCACCACCACCACCACCACCCCCCGCCCCCGCCCCAGAGCCCTTGAACTATTCTAGCTGCGTGGTCTGCCTTTCAGGGTGTCGGCCACAGCTCCTAGAGTCTCTCCCACTTGGAAAGGCACAGTCTTTGGCTATGGGCTTTGGTTTGGAAAGTGTAGCCCCTCCCTTCTCTTCCCTGAGCTCTCGGGTTTCTGTTTGACATTTGGTTCTGGCTGGCTCTCCTGTTGAGCTCCGGTGGGCCATGGTGGCTGGAACATCTGAATGGGCAGGAGGGGACAGTTCCCGATTAAATCCAATTCTTTTCCTGTTCCATGCTAAATCGTGCGGCTGAGTGCGGCTAGAGAAAACCAGAAGCAGGCTGCCTGGTCTCAGTTTAATGATCCCCAGCCTCGAATGGGCCTTTCGTGTTTCCTGGCTGACCTACTGTCCGTACCTCCCTGGTCTGCTCACTTTCCCATGATCTCAAATGTCTGTCTTACCGTTCCCTCCCCCTTCCTCCAGATCCCTGTCACCTCCCGTCAGTCCGTGCTCCCTCTCCGCTCATCTGACCAAGGAGAAGCAACGGAAACAAGGAAACAAGGATGTCCTTAAATTTCCACCACATCTACCCCTCTTCCTGGCTTGTCTCCCTCCTCCCCTTTGACTGCCTTCCTGTATTATCACCTCTCACCCTTCTCGAAGTTCCCGCTGCTTCTCTCCTTCTATTTCTAGCCGGGTTACTCCACAAAGTTGTGGATATTCCTTGTTGCCAATCAATGTCCCCCCCGACCCTCCTTCCATTTTCCTCTGGGCTCTGATGCCGTCCGGTTCTCCCTTCTCCACTCCACTGCAGCTGCCCTAGAAGGCTCCACGGACCCCGGTGTTGGGACCCAGTATGGCTGCTCCTCATGCGACCTGACTTAGCAGAAGCACCTGGTATCCTCCCTCCTCTCTGAAAGCTTTCTGGACTTGGCTTCTCGGATCCAAACCCTCCGGGCTTCACGCCTGTGTCTGGATGCTCCTGCTGCCTCCTGGGCTTTTCCTCTCCACCTGCTCACACTCTAAACTTTGGGGAGCCCCAAGGCTCAGATCTGGGGCCTTTTTTTTCTGCCAGACCCACTCGACTTACCTCTCTGGGGACTTCATCCAGGCTCCATGGGTCATCTGGATGCTGAGGACACCCAGCAGGAGTCCCCTCGGGCCTGGACGTCTCTCTCGAGCTCCGGCCTCAAGCAGCGTCAAGGAGGCACCTTCAACTTAGCACATACAAAGTGAGCTCTAAACCTGTTCCCCCCGAAGCCCCCTCTCCTCAGCCGACATGACAACTTCCAACCCGCAGAGGCCCCGCCGGGTCAGTCACCTGAGTGGGGGAGGGGAGGGGCTGCCCGCACAAAGCCAGGATCTAGAGGCCGAAAGCTGAGGGTTTCGTCAAGGTGAGGGCTTTGCCCCCGTGGCGTGCTTGTGGGGAGCGAGGGGGAGAGGCTGCGTGTTACCGTGAACGCTGTAGTATGTGTGGCACTGGTCACCGGCGATGGTTCTAGAATCTATGAACACCAAGAGACCAGAAGCAACCAAACTGTCTGGGAAGTCAATAAAGCATTTTATTCCACAGGAAGAAAAATAACGACTCTGACATGAGGAACAGATGAAAGAGTCTTAACAGATCGGTGACCGTAAGTAATCATGTTTACACAGTAGAGAACCAGTTAATTTAATTTCAGGTTTTATCAAGCAGCTACTATGGTATTTTGAGGCACAGATGATGCTTAAAAAAAAAGTTGTCCTAGAGCCTCTGAACATCCCGGTGAGTCCCCACCAGGCCGCTGGCCGTGCCCACAGAGGCTGGACAGGGGCTGCCTCCCCCTCAGTGGGGGTGCGGGGGCGCCTCCCTCGGGCCAGTGCTCCCCGAGGGCGAGGCCGCAGCTCTGACTGCCCGGCCCTGTGGGTTGGCCGACTGTGCTGGGTCGGGGAATTAGGATGGCTTTTGATTTCTCCTTATCCAATTTCTCCTCATTCAATTTCTTTTACTTTTCTCGGAGAGAATCTGTGTATTTGGGACAGCATGAAAATCGGGAGAAATTATCATAACAAAGTCTTAGACATCAAGGGCTAAACACCAATTGAAAAAGAAACCAGGCACTCAAGGAGCCTGGGGCAGGGCCTGCTTCCTTCAGGGCTTTGAATTCTTTCCTGGCCAAGCAGGAAGCTCAGTCCAAGGCCCCTGAAGCCCCCCCCCCACCCCGGGGGGGGGGCCGCGAGGGCAGAGAGCCCCAGAAGCTCTAGCATCTTCTCAGGCTCCTCCAGGCGAGGACTTGCACAATCCACCGGCCGGGCGACTGTTTCTAGAGCTGATTAAAGTCAGAAGGGCTCCGGGAGGAGGGCACCGCACGCAACACCTCTTGGTGGCCTGTGGGTAGCAGCTCTGCCCGGTGCAGCCCTCAGCCGGCTTCCTGCATCCCAGGTGCCACCAGGGGCTGAGGACTGCCTGCTTCGGTCACACGAAATCCCACTGACTTCATTCCAGAAAGCGACAGAAGGCTCACCGAGGCAAACAATCAGCCCTTCTGAGAGTCTCATCTTTAGGAGATCGTGGTCTCCGGCAGGCGGTGGGTCACTGATGGCAAAAGTGGGGCACAGCTGGGGAGGCTGGGGAGGCGGGGGGGACGGACCCACGGCAGGTGACGCCAGGCTGCGCTGCTGTGGGTCTCGAGTGTGAGCAGAGGGTCGTGACTGCCCCCCAGCAAAGACAGACAAACAACAAACCAAAATCCGCCCCAACCCTTCACGAGCCAAGTTTCGATTTTGCAGTCCACCAACTTAGAGCTCGTGAAGACGACACAGACCTTGGAGTTCACGACGATCCCTGGAAACACTGTTGAGCCAAAGCTCTCGAGCACTTGTGCTAACGCTCCCCTCCTGCTTCTTTGAAAACACACGCCCGCACACACCCGCACATGCACACACGCGTGCACACGCGCAGGGCGAGGGCCAGTGAGGTGGACAGATCAGCTTCATCTGCGTTGCGGAAGGGTTTGGGTCAGGACTTCCAAACACCAAAACCTTCTACACATCCGCTGATGCACTGCGTCTCGACCTCGGCTATATGTGACGAGGCCATAGAGACCGATGAGCTTTGTCAAAGTGAAAATTTAAAAATCACAAGGCTAGTCATTCACGCTGGAGGGAGCCCCCCTCTCAGGGAAACAGCAAAAACAAGCCCCAGGAGGAAGAGGGCTCTCATAGCAGGCCTTGCTAACTGGCTGGAACTTAAGACCAAGGACAAGAGATGTTCTAGCCAAATCTTGGTTCCATGAAAAAAGGACAAAACAGCTTTTCTTAATACTCAGATTTCATTCCCTTTCCCGAGACTCTCTTCCTTCTCGTCTGGTGTTACCACTGCTGACCCCAGGGCTGTGCAGCTGTGGTACCTGACTGTGGCTTTATTGAAAGGAAAGAGTCCTAGGACCTCCTCCCGGTTGTTGCTCAGAAAGAAGAGCCTTCTGAGTGGGGACTTCTGAGAAGTCTGTGGATTTTTGATTTGTTAAAACAAACAGTTCCGTGAGATGTTTTTCCTTCTAAATCAACAGAGCCTACCAGTGTTTCAAACTGACCCTCTCTGATGATAACCCAAGAAAAACTTACAATGCTGGTGTGCACGAGTGTACACACGCACACTCAGACCCACAGTAACAGAACACAATTTACCTCAAAGTTGGGCAAGACTAGTCAGGAGAAAGCCAAATAGATGGAGGAAAAAACGAAGTGGGGGTGGGAAATAAATAAAAGATGGGTTTCCGAGCCACCATCCTGCATCTCCTTCAGGGGCTGGCTCCGGCTCTGGGGCACGGGCTGCCCCATCGAGCCTCGGGGGCCCCGGGATTCCAAGGCGCCCACCAGAGCACCCCCAGTCTCACTCAATCTTTGTTCCTGTGACTTCTCTGGTTTCCAAAACTAACAAAGAACATTCTTCAACTTTCAAGAATGCCTTTTTATAGACAGTACCCTGAATTAGATGTGTAGAATTAGTGCAATAAAAGATCCAATATAATTTTATATTACTTTACAGTTAATAAACCTTTACACACATCACAGGCCCTGTTCAGAAATGCTCCTATATATTTACAAACACACGGTTGTACCTATATACATGTTAACAAAATACAGGGCAATCCAAAAATTAGATTCATCTCAGTACACTTTTTTTTTAAACGTTATTCAACAAAAACCTTTTGAAAATTATTTCCCCATAATCTAAAGTAACCCTCCACCCCACCCACAAATTAACATGGTTTCCACTTGTTCTTGTATCTTCCCCTTGTTTCTTGATATCGTCCCCCAAACCTTATTCTGGTTGGACTGAGGCCCAGCCAAAGGGCCTTTCCTCCTGATGGATCTGGGGTGTCTGGGAGCGTCTCTCGGGCAGCCGGGGCCTCTCAGGAGTCCGGCTCCAACTGCTCTTGGTTTTCATTGAGTCTTAACATGAGCTGCTGTTCATAGTAAAGACTCTTTGCATAGTTTATCTCTTGTGATAACTTGACAGCGAGGCCCTCGGATTTCACATGGACCTGGAGAGTAGAACAGAATCGGTAACGCGCCCCGGGGCGCAGCCAAACAAATCCCCGGATGTGGACCATTCAACCGGCCCAGGCATCGGCTCCCAGCCTGGTGGCAGGTCGGAACAGTATGGGTTTACTTTTTTTTTTTTTTTTAAAGTAGACTTCACGTCCGTCATGTAGCCCACTGTGGGGCTTGAACTCGTGACCCTGAGCTGAGATCAAGAGTTGGACCAGACTGAATTATCCGGGTGCCCCTGGTATGAGTTTCCTTTTAAGAAAGATTCCCAGACGGGGCACCTGGGTGGCTCAGTGGGTTAAAGCCTCTGCCTTTGGCTCCGGTCATGGTCCTGGGGTCCTGGGATAGAGCCCCGCATCAGACTCTCTGCTCAGCGGGGAGCCTGCTCCCCCCCCACCCACCCACCGGCTATCTCTCTGTCTACTTGTGATCTCTGTCAAATAAATAAATAAAATCTTTAAAAAAAAAAAAAAAGAGGGGCGCCTGGGTGGCTCAGTGGGTTAAGCTGCTGCCTTCGGCTCGGGTCATGATCTCGGGGTCCTGGTATCGAGTCCCGCATCGGGCTCTCTGCTCAGCGGGGAGCCTGCTTCTCTCTCTCTGCCTGCCTCTCTGCCTACTTGTGATCTCTGTCTGTCAAATAAGTAAATAAAATCTTTAAAAAAAAAAAAAAAAAGAGATTCCCAGGGCCTGTTGCTGAGTTCCTGAGTGCTGATTCCAGATGGGGGGGGCGGTGGATTCCTGGAATCTGTATCTTTAACATACGCCCCAGGTGACTGGGTGGCCAAACGATAGTTACCTGACATTTGGGACTCCCTGGATGGGAGCACCGGCCTCAGCTCTGAGGAGGCGAGGGTCTGCTGAGGCTCAACAAAGAGCGAGAGGGAAGGATTGCACCATGGGGACCCACCTCTAACGTCCAGTGACAAGTCATAGAGGGACAAATGCCTAGTTGCTCACTTGCCCTGACAGGAGCAAAAGCGTGGCTGGGCAAGGCTCCCCACCATCGAGAGGAACTTGTGGAAACACTCAACTTCTGGGTGTTAACTCTGGGAATGTACCAGCCCTGATTTAAGCCCACGACCCCAGGGGAGCGTGCACAGGCCAAGCCAAGCCAAACCCGACTGCATTCCTGAGCAGGGGAAGGTCGAGGGATTCCTGAGGAGAGAGGCCCAAGAAGGTCGGCTGTGGTTTCCGATCTGTAGAGGGCGCCGGGGGTAAGCAGCGCCACTTTGAATGGCCCATCATTCTTGAACGTGGCTTTGAAAATCCTGGCATACCAGGTGAAAACTGAGCACGACTAACACCTCGGGCTCTCGCAAAGCCTGCGAAGAAGTCAGAGGGCGGCGAGAGGTGGTGAGCTTCCCACACGCGCTTCTGCGGAGCCAACGGTTTCTCTGAGTGGAGGCAGCAAAGGGGTCTAGACCGCCAGCTGTGGAGTCACATCACCCAGGCTTGTACCCCAGTTCCTCCCAGTGTTGCCCATATAACCTGGAGTTACGGGCCCAAACCAAGCCTCCTTACCAGGCAAGAGGGACCGACGGCACCGCGCCACATAACCCTCAGAAACACTCAGTGTCTGTCCAGCGGGGCACATGGCGGGTCCTTAATGCACGCTGGTGACTAATGGGAATGTTACTATTTGAAAGTCCTGCCGTGACAATACCTTGTACCCTTTGGAGGCAATCTATCCATTTTATTTAGGAAAATTTATTTAGAATTTATTCTGGGGAAGGGCCTGAGCTAGACACTGCTTCTCTGCGCAGAAAACAAGTCTGTGACTGCGACCTGGGAGAAACAGGGAGAAGCCAGAGTGTGTGCTAACTCAGGGCCAAGCACTGCAGAGTCCCGCTTTGGGAATAAAAACCCCCACGTGTCATGTGGGTAGGTCCTCACCACTCGCTACAGCCGGCATTACTGGCCACACTGTTATCAATGGGCAGGGGAGGCCCAGGGGCTGGGTTGTTCCTGGTGGAGCTGGGAGGGCAGCATCGCCCCAGTTAACGCACATGAGCTCCTTCTGTATGTGGGACTGAGGAGCAGAACCCCTGGGGACTAAGAACAGCCCAACGTAAACCTAAAACGAGTGCCTGGTGAAAAGCGTAAGCCTTCGAGGGCTCTTTTCTGTCTCTTAACCACCGCATACACCCATTCGGGGACTCAGGAGACGGGCCAGCGGCGCACTCACCATGGGCTTCTGGTGGGAAGGGCCAGGGATGGACACGCCACTGCTCGAGTTCACTGCCTTCTTGGTCACCTGCACGTACACCTTCCCGTGGTCTTTGGAGACGAGGCAGTGGTAGAGATCGTCGTATTTGACTTCCAGGAAGATGGCCTCTCGGTCCACATAGTCGCCCCTCTTCAGGAAGTAGACGGCTCTGGAGGAGATGAGCACACAGTAGCTGTCGATGTTCTCCACGGCGATGAAGCTGCCAAGAAAGGGGAAAATCAGTGTCACGCCCCGAGCTGAGCCTCAGCCCCCCGACGGCGGGGCCGCTCCTGCTCACCGAGCCGACAGAAGGGGAGGAGGCGTGCTGTGGGCTCCTGACCTCGAGTCCAGGCTCCCCTACGTCTACTACACCGCGAGCCTCAGTTTCCCCATTTGCAAGCGGGGAATAAAGGTGTCACTGACCTCCCGGGGCTGTACAGCACGGGGGCCCCCTACACGGGGCTGCCCGAGAAAGGCGGCTCATGATGACCACCAACAGCATCGCCAAGAGAAACTCTATATCCTGACACTGCATTGTTGGGGGGAGGGCTTTCGCAGGGAGAGAGTTTGGGGAGCTTAAGGCACAGAGGACACATGACATTACCCGGGCTTTGTTGGACACAACAGAGGAAAATACAAACTTTTCACTACTGACAAAGTAGCTGCTGACAACGTTCACTGCTAATGAAGGGCGGTGAAGGCCGGGCCCGGAAGACACGGGCGGCCAGCGTGGCGGAGATGCAGGGTGGGGGGAAGGGGGGACAACGACTCGGATTTAAACTCGGTTCCCAAGCGGGTGGGTGCGGGAAGACGACGTCTGCTTCCTTCCTTGTCGAGGCTCTAACCGGGAGGCAGCCGGGCCTCCGCTCCACACCTCAGTGACTGGGAACCTGGGAGAACGCCACTGCATGTTGAGAAAAGTCTAATAAACTAGAAAGTGCTTTCTGAAGCTGTAGTCTTGATTTGACTAACGTTCAGTCATTACTTGGAGGGGCGGTAGGGCCACTCGGAAAAAAAAAAATCCCATTCCTCTTCCTCCATGGAGCTCCCAGATTTAAAGTGGAAATTTATGCACGTCAGACCTTTCAGCTCGGCTCCTGAATGAAGGGCAGTGACCCTTGGAAACGGCCACGGCAGCTCTCCGGGGCCGCTCGTGACAGCCCGCCACAATGGGGCAGCCGCGTCGAGGGACAGCAAAAGAGACCAGATGACGGCAAGCATACTAAGAGCTGACGACAGGCTGGCTGTCAAGCTCTGGTCCCCGGGACTTGATGTCCTGAGAGGAATTTCCAAACTGTAGCTGCTGAGCTGAAGCTCCCCCTGGAGCTGTTTGGGGACTGGGGTCCCACGATGGCTTTGTTTCTCAGCGGTCACAGAACGGCTGCTGGGAGGGCACCCGCCTGCCTGCTGGGGCCCCGGCCACTTTCCTTTCAGATCTATGACTCCCTACCTGACGGTTTCCAGGTTCCCACTTCCCCAGGAAGCCTCACGGAAATGCTCCAGGCTCGCCCCCACCTTCAAATGCTGAACTGCTTACCTTCGAGAGCCCTGCCGGACACGGACGTGGCTCTCCAGGCTGATGCGGGAGCGGGGTCCGCATCGTACACCCCCGCGTCTCTCTGAGAGCCCACCGCCACCGAGTCAGCCACCCTCTACGTACTCAAGTAAGTATCCGTCTGTTCCAGTTGCCATTTTAATTACAGCCTTGCATGACAAAAATTGGGGTTTATTGTTCTATTCTAACTGGTTGGCAATGCCAAGAATGCAGACTTGTAAAGTCTCAATGCCAAAATTAGAACTACCCAGCAGCTTTTGGCGTTCAGGCCACTTAGCGCAGAATTTCCCACATTCTAGGTTCTGACAGTATCACGGCGGGAGCGTTATCGCTTAATCAGACTGAAAGGAATCTCAAACAGCTCCTCCGGGGTAGCGGGGAAGAAAGGAGGAAACAGAGGGAGACAGACAGAGGGAGACAGATGACAAAAGCATCCTGACATAGACAGGAAGCACCACAGGCCCAGAACTTGCTGAGCAACTGACATGAAAACTGCAAACGGCCCATGGTTTCCGAGCACAGGTGGGCTGGGCATGCAATGGGCTCCCAAAGGAGACCCCAAAGTTGGCCGCTGCCCCGGGGTGAGAGCAGGAATGTGCATTAAAAATCCAACTGAGGGGCGCCTGGGTGGCTCAGAAGGTTAAGTGTCTGCCTTCAGCTCTGGTCATGATCCCAGGGTCTCGGGATCGAGCCCCACATCGGGCTCCCTGCTCAGCGGGAAGCCTGCTTCTCCCTCTGCTTCTCCCCTTGCTTGTATTCTCTCTCTCACTCTGCTTGTTCTCTCTCAACTAAATGAAATCTTTAAAAAATAAAAAATAAAAATCCAGCTGAGGTTATTTCCTCTCCTCTGGTCCAGTACAGGAGGCACCTACCCCATGACCCTTACCCCCACTCGCACCTGTCCGGAACCTGCCGTAGCTGACACTGAGGCCCAGCCTCTAGAAAGCCAGGCCTTTCCATCCGGGCAGCTGCTCTCGCGTCCAGGCCAGGGTGGCTGACGTTATTAGTGCACTTTCCACACTGGAACACTTTTATAGGCTTTCAAATAGACTCCTTTCCAAGATGCCACAGATGGCAAAGTCCCTAGTCCAGCCAGAGCCGCTGCGGAAGGAAGGGTGGCTCTGGGCTTGGAGTCTCAATGATGGCACTTGTCACAGAGGAGGAAAGGCTGCCAGGCCGGGTGACTCCGGGCGGGCCAGCTGCCGTCCCTGTGGCTCAGTTTCTTCATCTGACAGAGGTGATGCTATCTGCCCGGTTCTTCGCCAAGTAGCAAAGTCTGAAGAATTCATGGCCAGACCTCTGTTCTGTGCCCAGGGGCCCCGTTCGGGCCCTGAAGCCACCACCGGGAATCACACCCTCTGGACACGTGTATCACCTCTTTGAAGTCTTGTCTAATCAAGAGCAGATCAGAGCCAATGGTGCGAGTGAGAGGAGGAGAAGGGGAGAGAGTGAAGCCATGGCCGGGGCACCGGGTCCCCAGCGCCGCCTGAGCAAGGACCCAGAGGCTGACTTTGCAAACAGCTCTGCCTCTCCGTTTCCCTCCTGACACGAGCCAACACTCCTACCACCCGCCACCAGTGCCCCAGGTTTCTTCATCCTCCTCCTCCTCTTTTTCTCCTTTACAGAATCTAGGATGATTACAGCTCAGCTCTAGACTAGAGGTCCCCTGCTGTGGAGACAGATCCCAAACATGTCCATCATCTGTGAGAGCAGCCACAACTCGGGGTGACCGGAGAAGCCGGCCAAGGGAGCGCTCTAGGGCCTTCCCCTCTGCCAGTGGCGCCGTCCTCTGTCCCCTTCTTCGGAGCCACAGCGCTTTGTCCCTTCCTGGCCACCCACCTTCGGAAGCTGCTTCTCTCGGGAGGCCCGGCGTTTGCTCACACAGCTCACGGCGCCGCAGCCGCCCTGGAGCTGTGTCTGGACACTGGGCTTCCCACTGTTCATTCTGGAACAAGCCCGTTTCACACAGGCCTGCTCTTGGCCCACAAATGAAGGGACTGTGGTAAAACCTCACGGGATGGCACAGGACGAAAGCCAGCTCGGTCTCAGGGGAACCCTGGGCACACCCTTCTAGCCTCTGACCGGTTAAGAGCCCAGAGGTTCTCTGCGCACACACACCCCACGGGTCCCCACGCTCAGCACGTGCTCAGCCGGGCTGCTGCCCCTTCCTCCAGTCCCCTCCTCACTCGGCCTGCCTGGCGCGCTGGGCCACATCTCCATCCAGCCACATGGACAAGCGGCCCGGAGGTCACTCTCACCTCCTCCTCACTCCGACTCTGTGTTTAGTCAGCGCTGATGCCACCTCCCCACTCAGCTCTGTCCCCCAACTCCTGTTCGCAGCCACCATCTGCATTGGGGTCCCCCCACCATTGGTGCGGACCATGCCCACGGCCCCCCTACTGCCTTCCTGTCACGTGTCTCTGACTGTGATCCGTTTCTCTGCTGCCGCCAAGGTGACATTTTGAACATGTAATTCTCAGTGGGGTCCTCTTCAAAATCTCACCACTGCCTACAGGACAGGCGAGTTCAGTACGGCTCTTAGGATCTGGACCGTGGGCCACCTGCCACCACACCCGGCGGACCCCAACCATCCAGGAACTCTGCCGCCTCCGCGCCTGTACCCAGCACTAACTCTTCTCTTTCGTTGGGGCTTTCTCTCTTCTCTCCCAGGCACAATTCTCCTCATCCTGTTGGACCAGGTCAACCATCCATAGTCTTTCCTGGCTCTCCAAGCATAAATTAATCACTTCCTCTTGAGGCCTCATAACACACGGCTCACACTTCTATTTTAAAAGCAATCACACGTTATAGATGGTTAGTAATACCGTCCTGCTTCCCCTGCCAGACTGTGAACTCGTCAAGGAAAGAAAAAATCTTCTCACTCGCCCTGGCACAGAGCAGCATTCAACACACTGACGTGCTAGGTAGTTCTACAAAATGACTGTGAATTTACATTGTAAGGTCCAGCGGAGTTTGCCAGAGCACATGCAACTTTGTATGTTGGGACTGTATTTTACCCAGAAGTAAAGTTACAAAACTCTCTTGGAACTCTTGATCTAACTTATTAAAGATTTAGTCAAGCCGTTAACTTTTTTCAGCACAGCTGGCTGATCTGTCACATACAAATTTTCATTTAGGGGCACATCAAAGAATGTCCAATTCCCTCAGTGTCAATGGTTATTGACAGAGTATGATCCGGTTTGGAAAATGGAAGCGAATGAATTTTATCCCATTCCTCAAAAGGGCCTGTTTTTTGTTCTCGTTTTCAAGCTGTATCTGCTGCTATAAGGTTTACATTGATGGTTCTATGCTGTTAGAATCAATACTATAACCTGCGATCTAAAAAAAATTTCTGATTTCTGTCTCTATCTGCAATTTGTGAAGGGTAGACGAGACCGAAAATACCATAAACAGTATGGTTACAAAGAGGGCAAGAAAGGAAAATTTGCTCTTGAGTTCATTTCTTTTTGTGCTCTGAATGTGCTGACCACGTGCCTGAGCTTCTTTCGTCAGAGAAAGAACTGGTTTGGCTGGTGGGTTTACAGGCTGTATTTCTGTTCTTTTTTTATACTTCTCTGTATTAAAAGAAAAAAAATCTCATAAATGTCACCTTCTGAAATGACATTTTGCAAATACAATCCAGTTGTCGAGCTCCAGAATAGTGTCAGGTCACGTGGGTGGCTCATGGGCACCCACTCTAATCAGGTTAAGAGCCACCTTAATGTTTACGATAGTGGTGTGTCACTTTGTGATCAAGTATTAGAAATAAAATAGCGACTTTTTCTTTTCTTTCTTTCTTTTTTTTTTTTTTTTTTTAAATGAAAATGAGGTCTCTGGCTACAGATGAGATCCTAGTTATAAGGAAAAATTAATTTAATCAGATGGGACAAATTTTACTTTAACATCATCTTAACCCAGGATCCTATTTCAAAAACCAAACTAAAATAGAATGGGAAGCAACGGTAAGTCTGCAACATACCAAAGAAACAGTCGATTCTTCTGAAACCGAAGGCTTTTCAGCTGGCCAGACCTGAAATCCTATGTCAGTAACTATCTTTTTAATACTAATTAATTAAATAAAATGAAAGATTAAATGAAACTTGATCTGGGAGGACAAAGTTGAAGTGCCCATGGCACTGGGGACTTTGTGGGGTTTTCACTACATCAGGAAGTAATTACACAACATTTTCCAGAAGTGAAACAGTGAGTCTAACTGGAAAAAAATGTGGAAACATTTAGTTAGAACAGTAGAGCAAGGTATTAAAGACCCTTTTAAGGGGTTAACTCTGAAGGAAAATATGCAAATAATTAGGTCTTTAAATATGTTTTTAATTACAATTCTGGGATAAAAGTCAGAGGTATAATTTGGCACTTGTGTGCTTTTCTTGAAAACCCCTTTCTTGCAAAGTGATGATTCTAATGTTCACGTCACCGTGAAGACCCAGCCTGACAACCTAGGATACTTCAGAGAAGTTACTGGCTTCCTTGATGACTTCTTCCTTGTACCGAGGAAGGCCACGGTCACGTGCTTTCTTTAACATTCACTGGCGAGATTTACCCACAACCTTGGGTAGCAACACATGGTTTTCATCTTTAGAGTCAAAACTCATTCATCCCAATATCTTTCCCCAGTTCATATGAATTTCAAGAGTTTCATGAAATCAATTTTACTGACTTCAGTTTGATTCCAGTTCCCAGCCGTACGTGGCTCTGTTTTCAATGTGCACGTCTCACTGGGAACAATCCTGGGTTAGCTGTACCACACAATTTCTCCCTTGTGTTTTTGGCGCATGCCATTCTACTGAAAATGAATTTTGTAAGGGCCAGGGACGGTTCGAATCGAGTAGGGGTGAGTGGGGGAGGAAACTGAAAGCGCAGCGTACAATCATTTATAATTTCAACCTTTGGCCAAAAAAACCCCCAAAAGATGGCAAGGTGAACGCATATTACTATAATGCGACACCGCCGCGCTCCAGCTATCGTTCATTCAACAAATATTTACTGCGTGCCTATTATGTGCCAGGAACCATTCCAGGTACTAAGGATGGACTAGAGAATGGAACAGACAGAAATCCCAGTGCTGCTCTGCCGGACCCAAGGAATGACTCTCTGGGCCTGTCATCCAAAAGTTCCATCAGCGAAGCAGCATAACCGGGCAGCTGAGCCACCAAACCCTCCCCAAGGAGCAGGACTAGAAAGTCCTCCCCGGAGTGAAGCTGCCTGGGGAGTGTGGGTTTTGCAACGGTCTAGGCCCGGAGCTGGGCCTAGACTTAAAAAGAAGCATGCTACGGACTGAATTGTGTCCCTGCAGAATCCTTACATTGAAGCCAGGAATTACGGTTAAATGATGTCATGACGGGTAGGGTCTCCATCCTACAGGGTTAGTGTCCTTCTAAGAGACACCAGAGCTCTTGTTTGCTCTTGCCATGTGAGAACACAGCCAGAAGCTGGCCATCTGCAAGGCAGGAAGAGAGCGTTCACCAGGAACCAAACTGGCCAGTGCCTTGATCTTGGACTTCCCAACCTCCAGAACTGTGAGAAAATGGTGTTTTTTTATGGCAGCCGGAGCTCAGGCCATGTAACGCACCGCCATTCTTAATAGCCCTTCCAGTAACACTGCAGGGGGTTTGGGTTACATAAAAGACATCCGGGAAGAAGCCATCCGATCCAGTAAGCAGCAAATGATTTCTGGACTTAATTTTTGATGTCTCCATTCAAATATTGCTATAAAAATAGATGAGGTCAGCTTAGCACTGTCTCTAACAATGACCGTGACGGCTATCCTGAACTAACTTCTGCCTCAGATACTCCTCCTTCAACCCCAAAATGTTCACGGCCCTCAGAGCCTTCCCGTCTTAGCTTTAGCTTAAAGGAGATAAATAAGCATTAAAAGAAATTAAGCGAGCATTTTGCTACTCATTAGGCATAACCAGACACCACCTCCTGACCAGTGGTTCTAATACCAACTGAAGTCACAGAGCCTTTTCTGCTAAAAGGGTGTCTGCAGGGGCGCCTGAGTGGCTCAGTGGGTTAAGCCTCTGCCTTCAGCTCAGGTCATGATCCCAGGGTCCTGGGATCGAGCCCCAGATTGGGCTCTCTGCTCAGCGGTGAGCCTGCTTCCTCCTCTCTCTCTGCCTACCTCTCTGCCTACTTGAGATCTCTGTCTGTCAAATAAATAAATAAATAAATAAATAAATAAATAGTCTTTTAAAAGGGTGTCTGCAGAATATGCTAAAATAGCGATATACTGAGAGCTATCATATCAACTTGAAATAATTTCACTAACTGAAAACACCGCAAGACCCGAGGTATGTAAGGCTTAGCATTCAAAGAGTAACAAAACAATGTTTTAAAAATCGCTTTTCTAAAGTTTTCAGCTACTAGTGGTCTGCCATCTGTTTATCTGTTTTGTTCTGCAGCAAAGAGCAGAACATCAGAGCTCTGGAACATCTTACAAAGAAGAAAAGCCTCGAAGTTGAGAACGTTTTACTCCTTATCTTCTCTTTGAACAAACCAGGAAGGGACTGCCATTTCCGAGAAACAAAGCGCTGGGGTCCCGCTGCGGAGCTCAGTTTGAGAACTGCTGCTTTGAGGAAAAGACTCTGGACAAGCAGTTCTACCGACACCTGTAGGATGTTTGGGCCACGGAATCTCGGACAAGTGCCAGGGTCTAAGAGGCACGGCGCACTCGGGACAAGAGAAATGTCTCAGACTCCGAGACAGAGGAGACAACGAGCTCAGGGAGCCAACAGGGCCGGTGTCCCACTTACAATTCATCTTGAATGTTGTCCGTCAGTTTGAAGAGCTGCTCCTGCCCCTCCGCCTGGCTCTCTGAGTAGCGGGGCAGCAGCCCCTGCGGCCCGGTGCAGCAGCGCGGCTTCCGAACCCTCTGGGCTTGAGTCCTGCATGGGGAAGGGAACACCAAGCAGGGAGGTTAGGTGTTATGGTTAAAGGATCTCCCTTCCTCATCCGAAATAAAAAGCGCTCCGTCATACAAGGCACACTCTGGCTTTAGCACCGGGAACCAAGCCGCAGCCTCACCTGTGAAGGCACTAGGAGGGAGCTGCTGGAGACTCCAGTTTTGTTTTGTTTTGAAAGGTTTTATTTATTTATTTGAGAGTGAGAGCGCCCGCGAATAGAAAGAGAGAGAGAGAGAGAGGCAGGCTCCCCGCTGAGCAGAGACCCCCCCCACCGCCGACATGGGGCTCGATCCCAGGACCCCAAGATCGTGACCTGAGCCAAAGGCAGACAGGCAACCGACAGAGGCACCCAGGCACCCTGAGACTCTAGTTTTGACGAGAACCCTGCCTCTGCCGTTTCCTGACCGGGCGACCATGGACAACCGAGTTAGATTCTTGAACACCAAGTTCCAGTTTCCTCCATAAAATGGGAGGACACATACCCCACGGACAGCTCACGGAGCCTGTGCTAGATGGGATGGGGGCTAGCTACCAGCGATGGCTCCTGTTGTTGCTATTACTGAAACTTCTACTTGGGAAAACCCCACTTTTCTAGGAATCTTTAGGAGAGGCACCTCTGGACTTGGAAGGGCCAGGAAGAACAGTGCGGTGGCCTGGGCATCTAGGAAGCACATGCCAGGCTTCTGGCTTCTTTTAGGAGGAGCTCAGTGCCTGGGCATAGGAATCCTGGGAGGGCGAGGAGAGGCTCCATGGATGGGGCCCAGGCCACAGTCTGGGATTCTGCAGCGGCTCTAACTCATGCCATTCGGCGGTCAGTTGCCCAAAGGAATCTGCTTTGCCATGTCTTTCAGGGTAGGCTGATGTTGTCTTTTTCCACAAACCATATACGGGGTAATTGATAAGTACTTTTCGGTGTTTTCCTAGAAACAGGAGTCCGTATTTGTCTTGGAAAGGCTGTGCATATTTCAGATGACTGATAAGAGTGTGCCGGGTCTGTCCTCGGTCTTGTACTCGCTGTACTTTTCATTATTTGTTCCTGGATTCCACTGAAGCAAAACATCCCTCTCTAGACACAGCTAACAGAGAGGAATAAGGCTTGAATCAGCACTGAATCAGCACTTCTGAGCCATGCACTAATAATGGCAGTGTAGAGACTTACTTGTAAGGGTACAGAAGTACCCTAGAGGGCAAACTGGGGAAATAATATGGACAGAAACAGCCAGAGGCTTGCCACAGGCCATGCAATGAGGTAGTGGCGAAACTGGGACATTGCAAAGTGCTCCTGGGCCCAGGTCAACGCTCTGCTCCGGGCCGTGATGCGTGCAGTCCCATACCTGGTTAATGTCTGACATGTGCCGGAGCCAGAAATCCAGTAATAAATTTGTACAAGTTCTGGACTAAGGATGCCCTAGATACCACTAATGTAAGGAGACTGGGAAGAAGTTTCAGTGATCTGTACTAAGGGAATGGGTAAAAAAATTTTAGTTACATCACGTACTTACATACGCCCACTACACATAGTCGCAATTTCTTCTGCAAGATTTAGGCCCTCTAAGTGTTGGCCTCAAGACTGGGTTGGCCATTTACATGCTCATCCTTGACTGAAGGTAGGGAGGACAGTGTAAGGAGCTGCTGCAGGGCCACAGTGGAGAAGCCGGCCAGCTGCTGTTTGGGGGATGCTGGCCAAACACGGGGAGGGAGCGTGGTACCCTTTCCAGGGCAGCAAAGCCCTGCTTTGGTCACCTTGCCTGGGAGACAACTACTGTCATTCCAAGCCCTGCCCAGGGAGGGCTGATGAAGGGTCCTTTTCCCAAGGCGTCCTTCTCTCTACTATCCTGTTGCCCATGAAGTTCCTGGAAGAGGTTCAAGCTATTGGGGTAGAAGCCCAAAGGCCCCTCCCTCCAAGAGGAACAGAACGGGGCCCATTCCCCACAGTTTGCCAATGTTAAGATTTCATCCTGACACTTCTCACCCCATCTTCCCAATCCACTGGGAGGTCTGCAGGTTCAACACTCACACAGACCCCCATTGCAACAACTTCTCCATCTCTATTCATAACTAGTGAACCATCTCCAGATGTGCAATGGATTATGACAACAGTCTTGTAATTTATTCTATTTGCACCCTGTCTGTTCTCCTCAGAGCAACAAGAATGATGCTTTTAAAATATACATTAGACCAAGTTAGCCATGTGTCCCAAGTACATTTGCTTCATGTCCCACTTAGATAAAACATTTGCTTAATTGCTAGGCTCCCCACCTGGAACATTCATGAAAGGGATTTTGTTTCAGTCACTGCTATCCTGGGATCGAGAACAGTACCCGGTTCATGGTTGGAAACAATAAACATGAGTTGAGTAAATGAATGAATGCATTTGTCGGCGGGCGGGGGGCAGGCACAAGGGCCATTTTAACCATGGAACTCAAAAGTAAAAGTGGTGTACAAACTTTGGTGGAGAGTTTGAAGACCAGAGGTTCTGAGCCTTGGAGGTCGACAAAGTTAAGGCAAAATATGAATCAGCTAGAATCATATCTTCCTGAGAGAAGGATCAAGGGTGTGTTTATACAGTACACGGATCAAAACGAAGGACAGGGCAGGAAGGCACAGTCATGAAATTAATGTCTTCACTAACACATGTACTTTCCTTAAAAGAAACAATCTTTTCATTAGTACCCAAAGTGGGAACAGCCTGCTACCAGCGAGAGGAAGACTAAGAGTCCCAGATTTCTCTGGTGGGATCCAAAGAAGCCAGAGAAGTCAAAGAAAGGAGGCTTGTTTCTGTACCTGAGCTCCCGGAAGTCGCATCTTGTAACAACTAAAGAACAGTAGTGCCCGTGTTATCACATTATCAAATAGCTGTTCGGTGCATATAGTTATCTCTTTATTCCATGGCATCCCTCAGGATCTGCCCCAAATTTCACTGACCCAGCCTCACCTCTACTCCCGACACATCTCTGAAGTAAACTATAAGCCCACCCAAACACTGGAGAACTGGAAAGTCAAGTAGCTCCCTTGTGGGTATATACGGCCTATCCATTAAGTTTCTTATTTGTCTTCCCCAACAGGTTGCAAAGTGTCTTCCCACTTCCTAGGTCCTCATTCTGTGACCAACCAACCACCAAGGGACAGCTGGCCATAGCATTCTGACACAGCTGACTGGACCAGCTCACTGTGGCATTCAAGGCTTATTTTTCACATGGACATAGAAGAAAAAAAGAGTTCAGCTTTGTCCTGGAAGGAAACAGTCTTCCCTTATAGTCTTGTAACTGTAGGGGCTGCTAGAATGTGTGGTTTAGAGATACTCTTACAAGGAGCACAAAGGGGTTAAAGGAATTCTTCCCCAAATCTCCTATTTCTTTGTTGCTGCTGGTACCTGAAAAACTATCCTTTCTTCTCCAAAACTCATCTAGAATGTTAACTTCGAAAGCCCAAGCTGGAGGCTGGAGGCGGTGTGTGCACGCGCGTGTGTGTGTGCCCTTAAAGTCGCTGCGTGTGAACAAACCTGGCACCAAACTTAATCAAGTAATTATGAACAAAAGTCCATAAGCTAGTGTTTTCAAACCTTGTAAGCCAGCAAAAACTTTAAAGTGAACTTCTCCACTGTGGGCCACTGGGTGATGGAACTGTTTTGTCCATCTGTTGACGACAACACTCTAAATTCCAATAACCCTTTGAAACCGGTGGGGCTATCGGTAACAGCAATCCTGTTTGTTCATCCGCTGTGACTCAGGAACACGGCATGTCTATTTCTGAGTCACAGTTCTTAAGTCACTTCCCTGCATTTGTGCTCCCTGGGAGCCTAGGCGTACCTGGAAGGAAAGGACTCTATTCTCTTTTAAACCGCCTTTTAAGGTTAGGCTCATCATCATCCTTGGTTCAAGGCCCACTGTCATTATTGACCTTTACTTTCTTTATTTTAGATGGTATAATAAGCATCCGTGAAACCACCATCCCCAACCCACAAACGCCATCATTGACCATAACCTGAATGTCTCCGTGTGGTCCTCTGCTGCTCCCTCCCACCCCCTGTTCCTCCCCCACCTAAGACAGCCACGATTCTAAATCTCGTACTTATCATTCCTGTGTCTCTTCTTCCTGTAGTCTTAGTACCTGTCAACATACACTCTGGTAGAGTCTCATTATATTCTTTGGCTTTAGTTGTTCTAGTCTTTAAAAGGATGTCACTGCCTTTCTATGTTTGGGGACTTACTTCTTCCTTTTAAGTCACACTGCTAAGATTCAGCCATTCTTTCGTGTGCATTTTTAACCCATTTATCGTACCTGCTTATTTTTCTCATTCCATCGTAAGGATATACTACGACTCATCTGTTTCCCTGTGGATGGTACATGGGTTATTTCCAGGTTTTGCTATTACAAACAAGGCTGCTATGAACATTCCTGTAAATGTCTCCTGGTGAAAGGAGGCAAGAATTGCTTTGGGTACATCTATTTAGGATGGACCTTGCTGGACCATCAGGCATGAATGTTCACCTGACACAACGATTTAGCTTGTTTTCAAATTTACACTCCCACCAACAATGCATGGAAGAAAGCCTCGCAATCCGTATCCTTCCCAGCACTTGGTACCGTCTAGGACAACCCGTCTAATAACACAGCCTCTCGTCTAGTATGGCTACTGACCAACTGGAAAGTTGCTAGTGTGAGCAAGGAACTGAATTTTTACTTATTTACCTGGAACTGAATTTTTAAAATGTAATTTAAATTAGGGGTGCCTGGGTGGCTCAAGTCATTAAGCATCTGCCTTCAGCTCAGGTCCTGATCCCAGGGTCCTGGGATCGAGCCCCACATTGGGATCCCCGCTCAGCGGAAAGCCTGCTTCTCCCTCTCCCACTCTCCCTGCTTGTGTCTCCTCTCTCACTGTGTCTCTGTCAAATAAATAAATAAATAATAAAATAAAATAAAATAAATGTAGTTAAAATCAATTTAAATTTAAACTGCATGTTAGGACGCCTGGGTGGCTC